AAAGTTAACATTTTTTACCCTGAAACAACAAAACTATTAAATTCTATTAAAAAGTAATAAAATACACATGTACTAAGTAAAATTTTAATAGAATTGCTTTAAGGGTTAAAACTGTAACATTTTTGAAGAGTAAAAGGTGTATGTTTCAGCAGTAAAAAGTTAGGGACTAAAACAGCGAGCAAAGAACAATTGATGGACCAAAATTGTATTTTTCCCAATAAGGAAGGGAGTTGTCGCCATATAGATGGATAATAATGTCTTTTAAAAATTGAATTATATAAAACTAGATAAATACTCTATGTTTAAGAAGGAATATACTGTATGTTTGGAGGGATGTTCCACCTCCTTTTGTTCTGCCTGATTTGGCTAATGAAATCTAGTTTGTCTTGGCTTAAAAAAAAAACATAAAGATAAGATACCAGGACTATGTGGTCTAATGGTACCCGGGTTGGAATTCCATTTGGAAGATTATGAGTTCAAGCCTCAGTGTAGGCGTTATTGGTTATTTGTATTTCAGTAGGTTGAGAAAGTATATGAACCAAAAAAACTCTTTTATGAACTTTAATAGTTTGGAGGTATTCAATTTAAACTTTAAGGGAGTTTTAAAAGTTAGGCGGTATTCAATCAAGATTTTAAAAGTCATGTGGTATTCAAAAAGTTATAAACTTTTGTAGACTTTTCATTCTCAAATATAAATAGTTGAAATCGAGCCATCAACCCCAAGATTTGGAAAATTGTTTAAGGTGGAATTTGAACCTCAAGTCACTTGTGTTTAATAATTAGAAATTCTTCCACTTGAGCTACTTCAAATAGTGAATGAGTTTTTGATTATTCGAGGGGAACTGGAGGCTTTACTGAAGCAGGAGGAGCTTTTCTGGAGACAACGGTCTAAACAGCTTTGGTTGAAACACGGGGATGCCAACACAAAATATTTTCATAAGACGGCCACAATCCGCCGCAAAAGAAATAATTTGCAAGGGATCAAGGACCAGGAGTGTAACACCCCACTTTTCTAACTCTTAATTACATCTCTAAACAGTCATTAACATAAACTATGCAGCGGAAAACTAGAAGATAAGTAGTGGGAGTGTCACCGCCACAACCACCATTCTTTGATGATTGCACAGGCTAAAAGGGGTAAAACTATAAATATGATTAAGTCTGGGTACTAGAAATAAATACTGGAAAAGTATGGGGGAAAAACGTCACCCCAACACAGTCTACACCAATCCTCAAACTTAAAGTCATCAGTCTAAATCCATAACATGATCATAAATAAAACGAGAGTTTAGACATCTCAAACTACGAGACTAATCTAACTCGATCTCTTCTCACTCCTGGGACCACCTGAAAGGGGTTTTGCAAGCAACACATAGACAAACAGGAAAAACACCCGTTAGCTCGAAGCTAAGTATAACAACACTCAACCCTGTAAAGCATTCTAGCATATACTTTGAAAACATTTGATATCTGTATAGCAATAAGCTAATCTCAACTCATGTTAAGAATTATCACATTCTTTCTAAATGCTTGCACCCTATAATATCAGCTGGCATGCTTATATATGTATAAGACTGATCACGTATATTCATCAACATATAGACTTCTCAAATAGCTTATCAAGCAATTCATGCTTACAGATAGGATCATGTTAAAGGACTATACCACATGTATTTACATGCTTTCACATTCTTACCACATAACTTGATAAGTGGAACTTCTACTACAACACGATAATCATGCTCAAGGAATATCTCAAGTTAAACTTCTCATTAAATAATCTTTCACGATGTTCTACTCGTATACAATCATGTATAACATTATGATCATGCTTCTTATGCAATCTAGTGCAACATTATATTCATACTCATATGCAATCTAGTGCAACCATTTAATCATACTCTTATGCAATCTCGTGCAACAATATAAACATACTCTTATGCAATCTAGTGCAACAATATAATCATACTCTTATGCAATCTCGTGCAACAATATATTCATACTCGTATGTAATCTCGTGCAACAATATACTCATGCTCGTATGCAATCTCGTGCAACAATATACTCATGCTCATATGCAATCTAGTGCAATAATATAATCATACACTCATATATAAATTAGAGTACTTTCTAAGGAGGTTTCTTTGTTACTTTCTCGAATCTCTCTTGACTCTCTTTCTTTCTCTCGAGCCTTTATTGACTCTCATACTTGAGTCTCTGTTGACTCTCTTTCTTGAGTCTCTGTTGACTCTCTTTCTTTCTCTTATACTGGTAGATGGTTTAGGGTTTCACAAATGTGTGAATTACCCCATCGGGAACGGCATAATTCCAACCCAATATCTCCTACCGTTTACAGAACCAATCTCGTGGTCCAAACTCTGTGGAATCAGGTATCGAACTATTAGTGTGCACACCCCCGAACCAGGATTCCAAGCCCGGCGGGAAGTTTCCAACCTCGTAACGTGGGAATACGCCGCGTTACATATACTGGGACTGCAATGTCCATAAATATCTCTCGAGAGGAACATAGTCCAAACGGTATCATCCAAAACCTCACTGATGTAGATAATACATAAATATATCTCTCATGCAACAATTCTACTACTTCTCAATGCATCAAAGAGTGATATACCACATGCTTATGGTTTTTGACAGTATTCTTGGACTCACGTTGGCCCTTTATGCATCTTTGAAATATGACTCATGTGAAATGTCAAAATGCTCTATATCATGCTTCGAATTCATGTATAAACTAACATGAAGAAATCAAAAATATATCATCATGCTCGGTTTGCAATATAGCAATTTCTATACATTTCACTCAACAAATGTGCTTCTATTCTCATTGATCAAATGATACAATTTAATCATACTTTCATAATAAATCATATTCTCAAAGGACATGCTTCTTCACTCAATAAAAATCTTATCCGATCACAAAATCAACAATTTCTCAAACACATAGAACTTAGCAAAATATGCACTGTGTAACAATTCTTCATATAATCCTTCATAACATATTTGTTTTTAATCCAAATTCAACGAAATCAAAGCCAAAACGTGCGTCGAGACGATTCCGAAGAGCCGAGCCACAAGGGCCCGTAAGACTCAGTCCGAAACGACACGTAGCTGAGCCACAAGGGCCCGGCCACTGCACAAAAATCCTTCACAGACAATACTCAGGGACCTGGGGCGGGACTCTTCATAGTCCGCCCCTGGAGTCCCGTTGATGCACCGGGACTAGGCAACGGCCCTCCTCTAGGGCCGTGCCCTAGTCCCGTGCCACCACAGCTCTAGCCGGCGGCCCTTCTGATGGGCCGCGGCTAGGGCCGCCACTCTGATATGGTGCACACTGTGTTGTGCACCAGATGTGATTTCACCTGCAAAAACTCATCCAAACAATTCCAAAGCAATCTCAACAACTCACAAACACATACTAAATCACTTCTAAGCATGAACACATCAAAAGCTCATAGTTTCTACTCATTTCTACTCAAAACTAGGCTTCACAGAGCCAAATCTAAAGAGAAATCCATGGGGTTATACCTCTTGTAATCTAGCCTTCTTGCTTGGATCTCTTCTTCCTCTTGACCTAGCTTGAGCCTCCTTCACCGCCTACACTTCCTAACACACCTTCTATCCTTAGCCTAGAACCTCAAAGAGTAAAGAAAACTAGAAGAGAAAAGATGCTAGAATGAAGGATGAACAAACTTACTAGGTTGTTGTCTCTCTTCTTGTTCTTGGCAGACAAAAATATGAGGAAGAGGCAAAGAATGAGATCAGGAAAATGTGAAGAAATAAGAGGGTTTATATAGGGTTCAAAACCCTAGGATGATTCACAATGATTGGTTGAGGGCACAAGGGTAATTTCCCAAGCTAAAAGATGATTCTATAACGGATTTTGGATGTCTTGTGGTCCACCATGTAACATGAACCATGGGCTAGAAATGTTATCTTTTATTACTTTGGGGTTGAAAGTGAATTTTCCCAAAAGCTATATGGATGAACACTTGTTCAAAATTCCCTTTTGAATTCTCCCAGTCTCACTCAGATAAAATTTTCGATTTAAATCTTGGTACGCGAAGTACCCGAAAAAACTTTGGAATTTTCGAATAGATTTTATTTCTTCGGTGTCGAATTAATTTCAAAATGCGCCAAAATTTATTTTATTCATACACCGATTGATCGCAAAAAATTTTAATGGAGTGAAAAAACTACGTTGGGATTTCTTAATACTGGATTTATAAAATGAAATTTTGGGTTGTTACAAGGAGGGGCATTGGAAGGAAGGGACGGCTATGCACAATGAGCTCCTAAGGTGTTTTAACTGCATTTTTTGCTCCGGTAACAGTAGCCCGGACCTGTTTCATCGTGTACAAAAACGGGTAACTGACGAGATGAATATCTCCCTTTTACAACCGTTTACGATGACAGAGGTGAAAGCAGCACGTTTTTCTATAGCCCCGGAGAAAGCACCGGGCCCAGATGGCATGTTTCTGGCTTTTTACCAACATTTTTGGCCGGTCTTAGGATATGATCTGTCGATGTTCATCTTAAACTGCATGGCAAACAGGGCCTTTCCACCGGGACTTAATACATCAAACATTGTATTAATCCCAAAGAAAAAGGTTCCTGAAAAGGTGGCTGATTTGCGCCCGATAACCCTTTGTAATGTGGTTTACAAAGTATTGGCAAAGATGATGGCTAATAGGCTCAAAGGAACTTTGGAAAAGATTGTGTCACAATCCCAAAGTGCCTTTGTCCCTGAGAGGCTCCTAATGGACAACATTATCATAGCAGGGGAAATTGGCCATTACTTAAGAAGAAAGACGAGTGGGCGTTTGGGGTGGACGACTTTAAAATTAGACATGGCCAAGGCATACGACAGGATGGAATGAGGTTTTTTGGAGGGAATGTTGGGCGCGCTAAGCTATGCGCGCGGGAATGGGTGCAATCCCTTATGTTATGTGTCTCAACCGTTAACTACACAATCCAAGTTAATGGTGAGGCCATTGGCACGGTGTGCCCTACAAGGGGTATACGACAGGGGGACCCATTATCCCCATATCTTTTCATCCTCTGTGCTGAAGGATTATCCTTACTGTTACAACAGGCTGAGGCACGAGGTGACATTCATGGGGTGAGGGTGGCCTGGGGGGGCCCGGCGGTCACCCATCTCTTTTTTGCTAATGACAGCTTGCTTTTTTTCAGGGTAACTCAAAATGAAGCTTTAACAATCAAAGAGTGTCTAGAGTTGTACAGTGCGGCATCGGGACAGCTAATCAATTTTGAAATGTCAAACGCCGTGTTCAGCTTCAAAACACACCCTGCTATGCATGAGCTGATTTCAAGATACATTGGCGTTCAGATAGCGGATGACTTGGGCCAGTATTTAGGCCTTCCCTCGGTGCTTGGCAGAAACAAAACGGCCATATTCAGGTACATTGAGGAGAAGATCCGAGAACGTATAGGCATGTGGCAACATAAACTTCTGTCAAGGGCAGGTAAAGAGGTCCTAATCAAGAGCATAGCTCTGTCCTTGCCTATTTTCACTATGTCTACTGTTTTGCTTCCAAGATGGACCTGTGACTCTATTGAAAAATGTCTCAATCGTTATTGGTGGGGTGGCGGAGGCATAGGAAGTCGAGGAATTCACTGGTTAAGTTGGCCCCGATTATGTGTACCAAAAATGCTATAGGGATTCAAGAAATTGCATGAATTCAATATAGCCTTACTAGCAAAGCAAGGGTGGCGGCTTTTAATCTATCCGGAGTCGATGGTTAGCAGATTATTGAAAGCAAAGTACTTTTCGAATAGCGAGTTTTTGGAGGCACAAATTGGGAACAATCCTAGTTACTTATGGCGGAGCATCATCGCAGGTCAGGAGATCCTGAAGATGGGGGTGGCTCGCCGTATCGGTGACGGCGCGGACACTAGAATATGGGGTTGGGGCTGGTTGTCGGACGACTCTAATCCTTACCTACATACGCCTTGTATTGACGAGTTACGGGATGCCCGTGTAAGCGGCTTGCTGACGGCCGAGGGGAACTGGGATACAGATGTTGTAAGAGACATTTTTGTGGACAATGACGTGCAAAGGATTCTTGCAACTCTGATAAGCTTCATATTCAAAGATTCGTGGAGGTGGATTGGCGACTTGAGGGGGAAGTACACGGTGAAACAGGGATACCATTTACTTATGAACAACGAACGACGAACTGACGAGGTCGAAGGCTTCAATGCGTCGAAAAAGTTATGGACGCTGCCAATTCCGCCAAAGGTAAAAAACCTGTTGTGGCGGTGTGCTAGGGGTGTGCTTCCGGTTCGTGAAAATTTGAAAACACGACATGTTTGGTTAGGGGGGGGGGGGTGTCCTTTTTGTGGTTTCCTATTTGAGACCCAAGAACATCTCTTTGGTGAGTGCTGGTATGCTTCGGAGCTTTGGGGCCAGGTTGATATTCTTCAGGGTCGTTCGTTGCCATCGGTCATGGACTCAATTCTGGGTGACTCCGACATGAGGAAGGCCATAGCGATGGCAGCCATAGTGGACGTGATATGGTTGACAAGGAATGAGATTGTCTGGCGTAATGCTTCGCCGGCCATATTGGCGATGCATAACAAGGTACACGCGCTGCAAACTGCATGGCAGGAAACGTTCAGTAGCCTCGTGAGAGGGGTGACAGTCACTAATGCCGCTGTCTGGAATCCACCACCGAGGGGAAGCCTAAAATGCAATGTCGACACTGCTATCTTCTCGGGTGGCGTTGGCTTCGGCGCTGTTCTCCGGGACCATACTGGTCGGTTTGTGGCGGCTAAAAGTGGCCGTATTGAGGACACTCAAGATCCTTTCATGGTGGAGGCGATTGCGGCGAAGGAGGCTCTAACTTAGTTGAAAGGCCTATAGTGCTCTAGCATCATTATTGAATCCGATTGCTTAAACTTTTGTAATGCTTTTAATTCTAGATTTTCTAATTATTCGTACGTAGGGTTACTTGTTAAGCAATGTTTATCTATTGCTAATGACATTGGTGACGTGTGTGTCCGCCATGTCAAGAGGTCAGCGAACCGAGTGGCTCACGAGTTAGTGCGGGCAACTGGTTCTTTGTCTGTCTCAGGAGAGTGGGCTGTTATCCCGCCAACGTGTATTTCTGGTTTTTTAAGCTATTAATGAAGTCAGTTTCGTTTTTTGTTAAAAAAAAAAAAACCCAAGATTTCAAAATTTTCGTTCTACCAACTCTGAATGTTTTCTCTCTCTATTTAAACTCTATTTTTTCTCCATATTTAAACATTATAAACCTTATAGCTAAATTCAATAAATTATTTTTTCTACATTATCCTATATTTTCTTCATACCTAAACTCTACCAATTTTCTTTTTATCCTTAACATCTAAACTTTTTCTACTTTTCTCGTTAACTTCTAAACTTTCTCTAATTCTCTCTAAATACATGAACAAAGCAAAATTTTCATCTATCACTGTCAAATTTTACTATATGTTTCATAATATTCATATAAATATTTATATATTTTGATTTTTATTCTTTTTTGTTTGTTTATATATATATATATATATATATATATATATATATATATATATATATATATATATATATATATATATATATATATATATATATATATATATATATATATATATATATATATATCTACTATACTAATAAGAGCCCAAGGGAGTTAGGCCTATAATGGGTAGAAAAAGTGTCTGTCACAGATTTTAATCAAATGAATGGCTCAGATTAATCGAAAAATTGATCAGATTTAAATTTTACAATGAGATTTACTTAAATACCCACACACCGTTAGTCCATCCGTTAGAATTTTTAATTCACCGTTAATTTTTAATTCACCGTTAGTCCATCCGCTAGCCTCTCCCCACCCATAATCAGTACAGTCCAAGGAATTCACGGGCGGTTTTTGTTCCAAAACACTCATAGGATCATAATAGCTATTGTCCATGCTACTCGCATCAGGTTGAACCGTCTTAGGAACCACCTTCCGTGGATTCACCTTAACGGTGCGCCTAGACGATTTTGTTTGAGTTTCAAAAGTCGCAGATCGCAGGCCTCCGGAATAGTAGCTTCCTGCAAAATTCTTCTTCTTCTTCCCACCTGCGCTGCTCCGATCAGCGATTCCCCATAGCAACTCAGAGGTCAGCCGGCGCGACGTCCGGGCCGGCGGTTTGATATCGGAGATTATTGCACCACCAAACAAAACTCCTTCTCAGATTGTACTAATAGACCTCCTTCCTCTGATCCCTCGATTTCAAATACCCCATTTAGAAAAGGTTAGTTTTTTTTATTAAAAACAATAAAAATCTCATCTTGTTTTTCCCCTTTCTCATTCGTTGATTAAACTTCATTCTTGGCAATTTCTGTTGTTGTGTGCCCTAATACAAGTTTAGGACATAAAATTTTAAATATATACTAATATATTATGATAGAAATTGCAACTGGAACTCATGAATACTATGTTTTGAAGGCAATTGCTGGTGGTGGTGGGCGTGGAATGCGTCTTGCTAAAGAACCTGATGAGTTTGTGAAGTTATTACAGGTGTGTTTATCATAACCCTATGGATACTCATATATTCATATATCACTATATTGTTGCATGGAGCATCTTGGGAAATTGGTGCATATATAATATATATATTTAGCTCTAGGTAACCTGAACCCCAGAACTTCTGGATTTTTGGTAATTCATTGAAGAAAATTTCTGAAATTATCTTATAAGGTATCCTCTTAGAAATACCCACTTTTTTATCCACTTAGAATGAACCATTGTTTTATATAGTATTTCTTTTTAAGGTTACGCGCATTGTATAAAAGAATTGGTATGAATAATACCTGTAATAATCCATCACTTCCTAGTACAGTTGGGACACCAGCATTTTTCATTGTCTCTTTGGCAGTTGACTTATCACCCATGACTCATTGGTGTAATCTACTTGAAGAAATAGAATTTCCTCAGATTCACCTGTAGACATTGATTTGCAAGATCCATTAGATTAAATTATTGCTCTTTAAATTTGGTAGCATGAAAAGGGGCTTATGGATAATGTTTTCCCTAATCTTATTGTCTCAATTAATATTTCCCCCTTCCTCTCATGAAATTGAGTTTGAGGGGAGATAGATTCTGATATTAACATGCCTTTGATTGATGCAAATGATTCCGGGGCAGTAATCCCAGGTCCTATACTCAAATTTCTTACTGATGAGAGAATTTGCTTTGTCGGTTTTTTCTGTTTTTAGTTATGACCATTTTTTGAATTTTTCATTTTTTTAGCATCTTTCTTTATGGAGTCAGGGCGTTCTGGAATTGCTGAATCTAGCGATGCAGAGAGTCAACGAGTGGAGAACAACTTGAAACGACGAAATGCATACTCAAGAATGGATCCTGATAAAAAACGAAAGATGTTAGATGACAAAAACGAAAAGCGTCGAGCCAAACTTAGAGAAGCCCAGTCTTCGCAACTTCATGCCGTCAATACTGGTATGCTTTTTAATTCTTAAAAAATGTGTTCTGTCTGAGTTTAATTCATAAACGTATATACATGGGAGCTAACTTATTTAACATGCCTTTGATTGATGCAATTGATTATTGCATTAGAAATAGTACTCCATAATTCTAATCAGGAATGTTTGCAACGGAACGATACTCTTTCTTCTATTCCAGACCAATCTTTTGTTCTTAAAGATTGTCCTCCTTCCACCTATTGTAATGCAAGGCGATTCCAATATGAACCACCTGGATTTTGTTGCTCATCTGGTCAAGTTTTTTGGTGTCTAATGAAATGCCTTCACTCTTGAAACAATTGTTTTGTGAGAAAGATGAAGTGTCACGTCATTTTCAAGCATGTGTTAGAACGTATAATAACACATTTGCATTTACTTCATTAGGCATACATAACTACGACAAACAATTATCTAGGAGGAATAAAGAGATCTATACATTTAAAGTTCAAGGACAAATGTATCATTTTATCAATGATTTGGTGCCAGGGGACCAACCTCCGAAAAACTTGCAATTGTATTTCTTTGATACTGACCATGAGGTTGAGAATAGAATCAAAGGGGCAGAACGAATGGATGCAAGTGTTGTTGAAAACCTTATTGACGTACTTGGAAGCAATCCGTATTCACAGTTCTTTAGAAATCTCAATGATATATCAAGTCTTGATGATTGTAATATTCTGATTCGTTCAAATGCAAGTCTAGATCAACGTGTTTACAACATGCCTACCTCTTCTCAAGTTGCAGCAATTTGGGTAGATGAACAAGATGGTAGTGGTTAGAACAATCGTGATATTAGAGTTTTTGCAAAAACTGGCCAATCACATTTTGTGAAATACTATTACGGTTGTTATGATCCCTTGCAATATCTTTTGTTGTTCCTCTACGGAGAGAGTGGTTGGCATGAGTAGTTGGCAATATCCTCTGTTGTTCCCCTATTCACAGCAATCGTAGCAATCGTTATTGACAAACTACCAAAAGAATTTGTCTCAATAGCTAATGGAAATCAAAAAATCAATGACTTCATTCTTGTGGATGAAAAGTAAGTCCCCCAGTCCATTTATACTCTTAAATTATATATACTTACGAGATATAGTTCCATAAGTTATATTGCCTTTAAAATACCCAATGTTAAAATTTAAAAAAAAAAAAAAAAAAAAAAAAACAGGTTGAAGCCAATCATATTAACTACTTGGGGAGGATTTGTTGACAAAGAGGGTATTCAAATAGCTCAAGAAATTGAAGCAGGAAACTACCCTGTAATATCTTTGGATTACATCGTAGTGGTTCACTTTAAAGGTAAATCATATTTCATTATTAATAAGATTTAAAATGTATAATTTTTTTATTTAAATACCTAATCTTATATTATCTCATTCCTTGAATAAACAAGGCATTTCTCTATCCACAAGAACTCATTCAACAATACTCGTTGAACCAAAGGTACCTAGAGCAGAACACCTAAAAGAGTGGTATACTTCTATACTTGTAATTATTTATGTACATGCGAAATATATCATTATCTTGCGTAGCTATATTGAAAAACACATTATTACAAATGTCTATGTAGGGCGAAAGAACATCGTGACACACTTGATGCATTGAAAAGATGTCGAGACTACAACAATGCTGCAATCAAACTTGCAAATCCAGAAAAAGAAATTAAAAAAATATCCACCGTTCCACCATCAATTAATCCCGTAAGTAAAATACTTATTGAGCATTCTTTAAATATATTTACTCAAAACTAATATAAATTAACAATCACTTTCATTTTATAGTCTCGACCTGCTTGGATTAAGGGCAAAATCAGCATTAACCTTTACAACAACAGCACTTGGTATATAGGATGTAGCCATTGTTTAAAAAAGGTTTATGCACAAAGTGACCAGCAATTTAACTGTATGCATTGTGGTGAAAAGAGAGCGGTGGGTACTCCAAGGTTAGTATCAATTCAACAAACCAATTTAACAAAATACACACACACACACACACACACACACAAAAGATTAAATACTATACTCATTCATACCAATTCCAAAAATACGAACTACAAAATGCACAGGTGCAAATTGGATGTGGAAATTGTTGATGAAACTGGGCACATTGCGGCGTCAGTATTTGGACTACTTGCAGAGTCATTGTTGTTACATTCAAGTAAACAAGTTATGGAACTAGAACAAGAGGTACTATTCATGAACCTTCTACAAATATATTAATATTTCGTTTAATTCTGTCACATGAGAATATATGGCACACATCTCACAATGAATGGAACATGTAGGGGAAAAAACTACCACTCCTAAATATCAACAAGCGCCTACAAGATCAAGAGTTCGTTGTACAACTAAGATCTCAGGCATATACGCAACAAGGCAGATCCACTTCTTCCTACAGTATAATCTCATTGCATGATGCTTCCCACTATGATATTACAACTAACACAATTGAGCATGGCGCACTACCAAATCAAAAGAAGAGGATGTGTACTGAAGGTGAAGATCAAGAGAATGACAATGCCTCCCTCAAGAGAATTAAGAAGGCTTAGAGAAATTTATTAAACCAAATGTAGATTTTATTTAGACTATTATTTTTAGATTTAGACTAGCATTATTTAAACTATTATTTTTAGACTAGCATTATTTACACTATTATTTTTAGACTATGTATTTAGAAAATTACAATCAATTATTTTAGTGACAATTATAATCAATCATAATTGTATTATCTTACATTCGTAAGTTTAGATTATCTATTTAAATAAGCAAATTCAACATTTGATTATCTATATGTATGACCATATGACCAACTCTAATATAATCTTGCATTGATATATTTAAAGTACTTATATAAAAATATAAACATTGTGCATTATCTCAATCGCGCAATGCGCGTGAAAAACTAATATATATATATATATATATATATATATATATATATATATATATATATATATATATATATATATATATATATATAACAACATGTTACTCAGAATAGGGAACTGATATTCGCAACAACAATTTGGGGTTGAAAAATGTAGCACCTTCTTGTTTTTATGATATATTATAACATGTTTTGTAAGAAAATTATAAATGATAAGAATCAAAATTATTGAAATTTTGTAAGGATGTATTCAATTTAGAATTTCAATGACTTTTGTAGACTTTTTAAAATTAAAAAAAAAAAAAGTTGATAAAAGTTTATGAATTTTTTTTTTATATAGACTTTTAATAGTGTCTTACAAAGTTTTAAAAAGTTTTGAACGAATCTAAAAAGTTCAATTAAAGTTTATTAAAATTTATCATTTTAAAAGTCTACAAAAGTCATGATTGCATACACCCACCATAAGTTTAATAAATAGTGTAATTGAGTTCTTTAATTTTAAAAATTGTAATGAAGTACGTGCATATTTAAATAGACAAATTAGTTCAATTAGATCATAATCTTACAGGAAACCCAAGAGGCCCAAGAGGTGTGTATTCTGTTAAAAGTGCGTATATGCTAATAGTTGGGGATTATCAGAGGGATAATGGGACATTTGCAAAATGGTTAGCCCTATGGAAGCTCAAAATCCCCCCAAAATGGAGAATGTTTCTCCGGAGAGCCATTAGTGATATATTGTCTACCACTACTAATTTACTTATAAAAAGGATGGATGTGGATCCACGTTGTGCCATGTGTGGAATATCACAAGAAGACACAATGCATGCCTTAGTGTTGTGTGAGTTTGCAAAAAACATTTGGGAACAATCCAACCTTACGATTCCCCATAGCCACAAATATTTTTCATGTTTGGTTTGGTGAACTCCTAAATGTTCTAGACTCTGATGGGATATTATATGCAGCGTCGATTCTTTACAATATTTGGAGAGCACGGAATGGGGCGGTTTGGGAAGCAACACTGCCACACCCGGTAACCGTGCTCAAAACTGCCGCCGCTGCCAAGCTTGCGTGGAGACGGACGCATCCCGCGCCTGCTGCCCGAATCACTCCTCTGCCAACCTAGCCACCACTGATGCAGGAGGAGGCGGAGCTGCATGGTTTCGAATTGCACGCTGCCGAGCCACATGTACCGCCAAGGAGGATCTGTCGAGTCGATGCGGGCTATATGCAAGGAACGGGACAAGCCGCGGTTGGGGCAATTTTGCTCGAGACGAATGGAGGTTACGTCTCGGCTTATGGCGCACCACTCCCGAATTGCTCCTCGCCACTTTTGGCTGAGGCGTTGGCATGTAAGGAGGCTCTATCATGGTTGAAGGATCGGGGAGAACAGAATGTCGAGGTATATACAGATTGTTTGACACTACACCGCTATCTTACTACACCATCCGTTGTGTTTCACACTTATCTTGGCTATGCCATTGACAGCTGTAGGCTTATTGCATCTTTATTTCAGTCTTGTTCGTTTAATT